AATATCTACTAGAGTGAAACATTTGTTTAAGAAATTTCAAGAGTAACCTATGAGGAAGAGATTTTGAACGCGATTGGGACAATCCCTTCCTCAGGTTTATTTCAATAGAAGACATAGAGCAAGGATGACTGGTATATTCATCAGTTAAGATCGCCCTTGCTGAGTCCAAGCCAGACACTATCAAGTAAGACAGAAGTCTTCTTTTTAAAGGATTTATTTATGCCTTCCCTAGAAAAATATGGAACTACCCTTCCCCTAGCCATGTTCATAAAACTTAGTTTGAATTTCAATGTGTGCATTTTCCTCAAAACTTGATTGCTCTCCACACACAAGGAAATCTTTAACATCCAGGAATATTACAAAGGGGTAAGGGAAGCAGGACCTGAATCTTGCTAAAATGTAAAAGACCACAACTTGTAAAACAGCTATCATGATGGCCATACTATTATGGACACACGCTAACATCACTCAACTGCTATCAGTGCTCCAGCACCTTCCTACCGTTGTTCCTCCAGTTCGAAGGATGAGGAGACAGACTCTCGAAGTTCACCGGAACTTAATTCACAAACCAGCTCATTCTACTGTTGCATCCCTAACTACGGGGTATGCCTCCTGAAATTTCTGTGCCATATCCAAGAAAATACCGATCAGTCAGGGACACAATAACTAACACTATTTTGCAGCATGTTTTGAGCCAGTCAGTCTCAAGAGGGGTAACTCGTATCAGGTCTGACACCAAAAGAAGCAATCATCTGCAGAAAGTTAATCTGAACAAAGAGACCAGAGAAAAGATATCTTTAAGGTAGCCTGATTTTCCTGATCATAGAATAAGAAAGGTCAGGAAGGACCTCTAGTGTCACGTGGTCCAAAACCATGCTCAAAGCATGGGGAACTTTAAAGTTGGACCTAACTATAAAGGTAAATCAGGTTGCTCCAAGTCTGATTCAGTCAAGTTTTGAACATCTCAAAGATGTAAATTCCACAAATTTTCAGAGCAGCTTGTTCCAAAGTCTGACCACCCTCACTGTGATTTTTCTTCCTGTTATCTAATTGGAATTTCACATATTGCAGCTTGTGCCCATTGCCCCCTGTCCTTTTGCCGTGCACCTCCAAGAAAAATGTGTCCATCTTCTCTACACAGTGATGAGAGAACTAATGTGCCTAAGAGGCATTACAGAAACTTCACATGCAAAAAATCTGTCATCAAACTGGAACAAGCTGGGCAGAAGGCGACTAGGAGTCTAGGAAGCAATATAAATAGAGAGATGCTGAAGGTTAACAGGCTTCATTTATCAGTGTTAGAATTATCACTATTCTAGATGATTAAACAGTTAATATCCAAGTGAGAAAATTAATAATAAGAGAAATTAGCATACAGTAATTTGTGCTACACTTTTTGTAGCTTGCTGGCTTGGGAATTAGGAAGCAACTTTTAAAATTTTCTTATATATATTGAGGATGGGTATTTAAATTATCTTCCACAATATTTCAAATTAATCGCTTTCCCTCCAGCACATACTTATTAAAGTGGTGCCATCTATCTGTGAAGAATGCTACAAGCAGGTCTTTGTCATATGACTTCTGCCTAAGTAGAGTTATCTAATTTATAAGCATGACAAAGTATAAAAGAAGAAATTCATAAGAGGACTCAGTAATGGAATAGCTGTACTTGTTTTAAAAACAATAATTAAATGTACCCTATTAAGATAAGACCTAACAATAGGACTATCACATAGAACATTTCCAGTATTATAAAATCAATATGACAGGCCTAAACTTGGTGTGCTGCAACATAACAATGTGGTGAAAAGTAATTAAATACAGTTCTTTTAAGAGGATACATAAGTACAGATCTAAAGTGAAACCCTAGATGAAAGAATCAAGGTGTTTCTAAACCCAACATAATCCTGGTACGTGGAAAAGACTTCAACAGCGGGTTTGACTGGCCATGGTAGTGAAAAACGATAAGGAATCTGTGAAATACTTCAAGAATCAAAGAAATAAAAGGCTGAAAGAAACATAAAGCAACTGCCAAAACCCTTTTCCAACCCAAAGGCAGGAACAACTGACCTCAGGCCCTTCATACCTCATCCAGAAATGTAATAAATGTCTATTAAATCTGAGTAGCAGAAATAAGAATGGAGCTTTGCAAAACATAAAGGTCAGCTTCATATGAGACAGGTTCAATGTGGCTAGTACAGACTTGTGCAACCTGTGTCCTGTCTGTGTCAGGAGCTTTTCAGTACCCAGCGTGAAAACCATCCCTTTGAGATGGGTTTGCCCTGTGTGATCGGTACCCCCTGCTCCTGACTCCCAGTAATACAGTTACCATAACAAACGTCATTTTATAAGCCAAACAGACATTCTCTGTGACCGAGCTGATCAGTCCTCTCTCTCCCTCTCCTGCTAGGCCTGAAGGTCCTGCACGCCATTCTGTGATTCCATGATACTGCGATTCTCCCCCTCCCTATCGGCCTCAAGGTCTCTGATCCCCCTGGGGCCAGGGACATCTCTGCTCTTGTCTGCTTCCTACAAGGACTGAGTGAGTGACTTGTATTCTTTTATACAATTCAGGTCTAGATGATGACTGCAATATTGATACTGCAAGCCAAGTATTAAGATTTGACCTCATCTGCAGAGGCTCCAGGTGATTAGGAACCATAAGCTAAGCTGTGCTATAAAATTCTGCGCTATGCTACTTACAAAATTGTGCTACGCTGACTCTGTTTATAAAAATCCTGTGCTACCCTGATCATAAATTTCTATGCTCTGCTGATCATCAAATTCTGTTTAAAATAATAAAGCTTTAATTGTAACTACAACTTAGTGCCATCATCATTCTGCCAGGGATCCCCAAAAGAACCTCTCTGTCCCTGTAGTGTCTGGAGACAGAATACATTGGCATAGTTGGCAGAATCCCTGGGTCAGAGTAATGACTGATTTCCCTGATAAATGGGACTCCTGGAGAAAGGGGTTTACAGAAAATAGGTGGCAAGATCCCAAGAGGGACAAGAAGTGGCTAAAGGCAATAAGTCATCATTCAAAAGCCGTATGGAATGAGTTAAATAAATGGAAGGATAGTGTCAAGTGAAGAAGGACAGACAGAAGGAAGGAATGTGCTGGCTCTTAGCTACAGTATGGAAAACTGAGAATGAACAAGTTGAAAAGTTAGAAGAGGAATTATACAGTTGAAAGGTGAATTGTCAGCAAAGGATTTAGAATTAGTATAACCAAATTAAAGACTGACAGCGAGTCTGGAAAAAGAGCATCTCTCGAAAAACAATTAGTGTCACAAGTTACAGAAAAAGCAAGAAAACTGTGAAAAACTGTTAAAAGGTAGCGATATAGAAGCTGTAAATGTCTGCATAGCTATGTATGATAGTGACTGGGCTGGAGACATTTGGGACAGCCCAGATGAATCTAGTGAGGAAGTAATTGATTCTGTACCAATAGGACCCTTGACTAAACAAGAAATCACTACTGATGACCAACAGGGGAACAATCTGCAGAGAAAGGATACTACTAACATCTGAGATTTTAATAAGGATTATTTGCAAAAAATTCAGGCAACATACCAAAAATGACCTGGGCAGTCAACAGTTAAACAGTTGTGCTGCCTCTGGCATAATAAAGCAGTGAGAGAATCCCTGTTTGCAGGAGAGGCAAAAGACAGATTTAGGTCCTGGAATTTTTCTCACCCTCAGAGGGAACGTTGCTTGGACCTTAGCTATTCAGTGGGCAAGAGGGGTCCGTTACCAAGGCTGGAGCGAGGAACCTACAGTTCCTTCGCAGGGTCCAAATGAATTGCAGGAAGCATAATTACAAGGGGCTATTATAACCTTATCAGATCGAGCAGAGCTCCAGGTGAAAAAAAAAGGGACAGTCCTGCTCCTGATTTGAGGTCTGATGGGAAAGGAGCTGCAGGGTCAGAGAAATTAATCTTTATGCAACTATGCCAGGGCTTACCTGCAGAAATCTTTTCTTTTTCACAAGTGCTCCGCAAATGCAAGAACTAAGCCCTGAGCCTCCCATACGAAGGAGCAGTGCTGGGTCCTAACTCCCTTGGTCCCACCTGGAGATCAAAAAGCGCCCCACATGGCCATTGGGACAGTTTAAATAAAAAATATAATACCATCAGGAGTCGTCTTAATCAAACTGAAAGTGCATGATCCGAGCGAAACAAGTGGTGGTGTGCCTCCATAAATCAGGGGTACACTGGTGACTTGCTCCACCATTTGTCTACTGAAAAACCACAATTGCTAGCAAAGGAAAGGGAAAAGGAAGAAAAGCTATCCACGTCTCTACCTAGTGCCCCTCCCATTAATGGAAATCCCTTAAACCCCCAAAATATCCTGACTTACCTCCTATCAGAGAGCAGTACAAAGGAAACCAGGCAAGGGGCTCAGACTGGCAGAGGTACCTCTGGACTCAGAGAGGCCCTACCCTCTGCCACTCAAGGAGCGAGTTCCACCCTTTGGGCCACAGTAAATGATAAATTAAAGACTGATTTCCTCATAGATACCAGAGCACAACTATTCCTGATTAAAGCAGAATCTTGTTCAGAGGGAGCTATCCCTCTGAAACATCAGAAAATACTAGTAACTGGAGTAAATGGAGCAGTGGTTCCTTATTCAGTTGTTAACGTAAAATCGGAACTTCCCTTTTGCCTCCCCCCTGCCCTCTGAAAACAGCAAAAGTGACTAGGAAACCTAAATATATTCAGCATGGATATTCTGTGAGCTGGATACAAGGCAACATTAATTGGGCTACTGAAACAACTACGAAGAAACAATGCCAGGGTCCCAGCCAGGAGGTCACCTTTTTGGGGACCAAATAGATACGGGGTAGGAAATAAGTCCCCTGGTCCACTTGGCAAATTGATTATGTTTGGACCTCTCCCTCAAATACTCGAGGGGTGGCATTATATCCTCATTGGCTGAGTTGAAATAATAACAGGCTTAGGGAAAGTTTTTGCTTGCCAGAAAGCTGATGGTCTTACCACTGTGGCAGGACTTAATGGTTTGCTGAGACGACCATGCCCTCTGCTGTGCAGTCTGACAATGACACTCGTTAAAAAAA